GTGAGTTTTATGCTCCTTCAACATGGTATTAATGAGCACAATCAACTCTGATTTATTTATTACCAAATAGCAAGCACAAATGTGACTAATTATAATGCCTCCAAGGATTTTGGTTTTATTTAAAGAATTATACCTTGACCAAAATCTAAGTACTTACTACTTTAGTGATGTTAAATATGGTTTATTTGTTTCTTTAAAAAATTGCCATAATAATTAAATTTCACTTTTTCTTGTTTACTAAAACAATTTCCTATCTAGTTGAAGGATGGTTGAGCTATAGTTTATCACTACTTTGGTTGATGTATATCAAATCACTATCTGCTTTGTTGTTTGGAACCAAATGATTTCTAACCTTTTTTTTTTCCTTAAAATTGCTAGATTCCACAGGAAAAAAATTTAAAAACATACAAAACTACTTATTTAGTTCCTACACATCAATTCAAAATCCAACAGGTGTGACTTTAGAAATTAAAAGAGTCATGTGGGAAGGAAGGTCCATGCTTTGAAGAAAGAAGTGCTTTAAGTATGATACAGGAGAGGGTGAAAAGCAGGCAAATTCATCCACAAGACCTGCATCACTTACAGTAAGGGAGACTGTTTCTGTGAAAGTCTGGCAATATGTTTCAAACACTCTTTGGTTGGTTCTTCAAGACAGGTTCTGTTCTCTTCAGGATCAGGTCTCATGTACTCCCATCCAATAGCTGGAAAATCAATCTGAAATAAATAAATAATTGGATATGTATTGAAGGTGTCTCTGAAGATATTATTAATTTATTAATCTGTATTTTTGGATTTGTAAAAACTTTAGAATAAGTTCTATTTTTTTTCTGTGCTATTATTTCTCTGAAATAGTTTTTAAAAGTATCATGAACACTTGAAATTGGTATTTAAACAGACATGGTATCTGGTCAATTTTTACACATAGTAAATGTTTTATAATGTTTTACACATAGATTAATGTCTTGGAATGTTGTCTGTCTGAAGAAAAATAAGAAATAATAACAATATAAAAACCTTCTGTGCAGCTAACTATTTTGCATTTTTGTTTAATACTGAGGTTATATCCTTTATATATTTCAGTGTTAAAATGTTTCTATTATGAGATGAAGAAATTTGAAGATGGTAATTATACTTTTTTTATGTAATCACTTGTGGAAAATAAGAAGAGCTACTCTAAGTTCTCAAGTCTAAAAGCCTGGGAACCATTTTGTAGAAATGAGACTGAGCACTTCTTTGGCAATAACCTGTTTTGCAAGTACAGTTATGTAATCAAATATAATATCTTTGTTTTGGATCTTAGTTCAGGATTATAGACAGGGCTAGAAATCCAGGCCTCCTTTTTCTCTGATTCAATGTGCTTTCAATTAGAACCCTTTTAGTGATAATCTGACTCTGGTAAATAAAGTAACAGTTAACAAAAATGAGCTGGTTACTATAGTGCTCCATATATTTTCTTAAGGTTATCAAACTTTTAAAAAGTTTACATATTAGGAAATCCACAGGATTTACTTTTTTTTCTGCTGAACTATGTTAGGCTGGAAACTTGGAAAAATTGAGGAACATTATAGATTATGTGAGTCACAGTTTGAAATTTAGTTTAATCCATTTGTGTCCTTATGTATTTAAAACATTTTAGTATCTTTTCCTATAATCCTTAATACTTGTTGCAATTTTTGTTTTTGTTATAATATTTATTATTATGTGCCAATTTTCAGTCCAACATGATAAAAGAAGCTAGTTATAGATAAGATAATCCAAAGCAATAGTACAGTAAATTTTCTCTCTTGACCAAGATTAATCTTGAAAAACTAATGTTGGTGCCTCTTATGAAAGTATATACAGTACCAGCAGGTTACATGTTATTCTTTATGTGCCCAAATATTGCTAAGCACATGGAACTGAATTACTAGAAATAGTATTTCATGAGCTACAAGAATTATATCAGTCCTAAGTAAATGGCAGTGTGGATGAGGAAACTAAAGTCAGTGGATGAAAATGCAAAAGGCCCTGGTTACAAACTATATTAAATTCTTTTATAAATTTAGAAAGTAATTTTATCACTAGTACATGAATAAGCTCTATATCAAATTATATTACTAATCTAAATACTGATTCAAGAATCCCTGATGGAAAAATATCAAATTTCTCCCATTGTCATTTGTTACAACACATAGCAAAAGAGAAGCTCCCCAAAGTGTGTATGAAGGTACTTGCTCATTGCACTTTTGAGCACCATGGATTATGGAAGACATAAAGTATGATAGTATCCACAATCTTCAGAGACTTTACTGATGAGAAGAAGCATGCCAGTCCATTCAAAGTAATGAACAGATTAGGTTACAGCTCTCACAGTCCAATCATTTCACCTCTGAACACTCTTGCATTAACAAGAACTTTTGGGAGACAGCTTATATACAAACATATCATTATCAGAGATCTCTCAGTCAGTGGAAAGAAACATAATATGGTAAATGCATTGATAAGAATGTTATTAGGTATTTTGTGAACACAGAGGATGGGCACTTAAATTTCATGGGGTAGGAAGAATTGAGGGGGTAAGTAAGAGATAGCTAGAGAAAGGAATATGGATTGTAGGAGATAACTATCACTTACACACAGTTAGAGGAGGAGAGGGCAGTGAATGACGTAGGGGTAAGGACAGGTTTATTCCAGACAGGGAAAAATATTTATTTTTCTCATAAGGTAAAAGCAAAACAGTATTCGTCAAAAGTGACAACATTTTTCAAAGTTGCTGGTGTTTAATGTGTCAAAGAGGAACTGGAAAGGAAAAGGATGGAGAGAGATTTGCTATGTAGTTTGGTTTTTATTTTCTAGCTATTGCTTGAGTTACTAATGAGTCAATAGAAAATGGCAGGTTCAGATTTAAGTTTTAGGACAATCACACTTTTAATACTTGTAATACTTAGAGTCTAGATTAGAGAATGACAAAAGTCAACTATTGAAACAGTTTTAATACAGGAAGGTGTGGTTGAAACTAGGGGAGAAGATGTGAGGAACTGGGAAGATAAACTTGAAAAAATATGGGAGATTAAATTAGCAGGATATGGTGTGGACTAAACAAAATAGAGAAAAGAGGGAAGAGGGAAGGAAAACAGGTAGGTGTGTGTGGGACAAGAACAGACGTAAAGAATTCTGAGGGTAAATGTAATTTTGGAGAGGAAGGTGGGCCTGGTTTGACATATGTTGTGCTTAAAGCTGCCAATAGAAAATCCAGGTGGGAGTTTAAGCAAGTATATGGCTATATTTGTCTGAAGCTTGTGGTAGGAAGGAATCTGAGATGCAGTCTCAGAAGTGAACTGCATAGACACCGTAGAGAAAGCCTTAGAACTAAGTGTGACCTAGTGATTCCACTGCTGAGTATATATACAAGAGACACGAGAATATGCACCTCCATGAAAATATGTACTTTAATGTTCATGGCTGCATTATTCTTATTAACTAAAGGGTAAAAAATTCCAAACTTGCATCTACTAACCAATGGATAAATACAAGGTAGTATATCCATTCACTGCAATATTATTCAACAATAAAAAGAAATGAATACTATGCTACAGCATGTGTGAATTTTGAAAATATTATGCTAAATCATAGGAGCCTGTTCCAAAAGATTCCACTTAAATAAAATGTCCAGAAAAGGCAAGTCTATACAGACAGAAGGTAGATTAGCAGCTGCATAAGGTTGTGGAGGACAGGAAAACAGGAAGTGGGATTTCCTTGTTTGAGATGACTAGAATGTTCTAACGTCGACTATAATGATACATGCATATTTCTGTAAAAATACTCAAAATGACTGTATTATACACTTTAACTGGGAGAATTCTGTGAAATGTGAAATATCACACTATATCCCATAAGAATATATGATTTATGTTAATAAAATTTAAAAACAATATTTAAAGATATGAAAGTACTAACTATCCTAATCTGGTCATTACACATTTAATATATAATATATACTACACATACACACAGACACCCACCCACACACACACAAACACACTGAATTGTTACACTGTACCATATAAATGTGTACAACTAAAGTAATAATACAATATTTAAAATTAAAAATTTTTTAAATGAATTATATTTTAATAGAGTCATTTGAAGATAATAGAGGGCAACAGACCCTTGAGAAACGTCCACTGTGAGGACTAGGAGAGGAAGGGGATCCTAGGGAAGGAGATGGAGAAAGGATAGCTGGAGAGAAGTGTGAGCAGAAAGAGAGGGCAGTAACAGCAGAGCTGGATGGAGAGTTGTTCAGTAATGGGGAAGAGAGAGTGCAGAACAGAGCAGAGCAAACTGATAGGACCAGGGCTGAAAACCATTACTGGATTTGGCACCTAGGAATCCCAGACTCCCTAACAATGTTAAGCCAGGAAAAAACAAGCCAGAATATAGTGAATTTACATACAAATGAGGAGGTGAGGCAATTGAGAAATACAGAATAGAACAAGAATAATATTAACACATATGAAACAACTCTATTCTTAATTCCTAAACATGTGACAGAGTCATTCTACTGGATGGTATTCAGGCAGAAGCAGGAAGTTGAGCGAGACCCAGGATAAGGGAGTCCAGCAATAACCTGCTTTTCTTTCCCTATTTCTGACTTGGATCTCCTTCATTCTTTCCTCTGCTTCAGTCAATACATCAATTATCAGAGATCACAAAAACTGTTGACTTGGAGGAATCATGTTCTGTGACATATCACATCTGTCACACTGGGTTGGCTATCCTGTGGGAGCAACCCTCTATTTAATAAAGACAATCAGAACAGTACAGACCTGACGAAGGCTGGGTAGGCACAGTGTAATTCTTTCAATGTACAGAAGTGAGAAACGAAGGTTCAGTGCCTTCTCAAGGTCAGAAAGTTTTTGGCTAAGCGTTAAGATTTGAGTTGAGACTTCCTGACTCTCAGCCTAATATATTTCCCTCAGTAATACTCATTCCCTAATGAAAATACTGGTAACAGAACTTGCTTCTAATTTCTTTACCATCTCATAATCTTTAGATTGAAAGATAACTGCTCTAAATTTAGCTGACTGTGTCACAAAACTGGTATGGGGTTCTAAAGGTGTTGGTCCCACTATCTTCATATCTATTTTGTTTTGTGTATTTTATTTTCAATTTAAAACCATGCTGAAATTTTTTTCTGCATATATATTTGTTAAATTATTTGTGAAAATTGGGCAATTTAAATTCTGCATACTGTTGAATGATTATTATAGATTCTACTCTTTTCTCTCTCTCTTTTTTTTTTTGAAAGATGAGTTCCATAATGGGTCCAGATTTCAACTTGGAAATCTGTGCAGCTGTTGAATACTTGACACTTCTTTTCTGATTCTATTTTTCAGAATCTATGTTCCTAAAGGAGCTACTCAGTCCTACAAGGGAATCTCATCTGATAATCTTCCTTACTTCTCTTACCCTAACTTTGTCCCTTTACCAAAGACCCCACAAATCATGAATTTATATCCACAAAGCTCTGGCAATGATTATCCTCAAAGACTTAAACTTTGGTAAGCTGCAGTGGTTTGGATCAGGGAAAAATGCTGATTTAAAACAAAATTATTTATCCTTTTAAAGGAATGTAAATGATATCTACACCTGTACACCCTATACGTCTGTCTATTCCTTTTCTCCATGTTTTTTTCGTGAAATGAAAGATATGGCTGTTGACCTAGGAACTCCAGGTATTGTTCATAAAGTTGTGCTCCTTTATTTCTAAAACAGTTGTTGTAATTGACCACTTATCTGTTCTTTTTTTTTCCCCTGTTAGTTTTGTGCCTATGATCTTTAACTTGGAGCACTCAGATATTTCTCTAGCAAGTGTGCATGCATCTAGTCTTCTAGTTTTCCAGGACATCTTCTACAATTTTTTCAGAACTTCTTTCTATGACTCATTGCTCAGATCATCCTGTCTGAATCTGGTACACAGTCTAATCCCTTAATGATTTTCCAGCCTCTACTACTATTCCTCATGTAATTGGTTCTTTATCTTAGCTAACGGGTCCTATTTTCAGGCTAACACTGCCTTTCTGAATCAAGGACTGCACTGTGCAGTCCTTTATGACTGTGTCACCAACCCCTCTTAAATATTCAGTTGGAATTTACTCAGGGCATTCCAGTCCATTCAGGGCATTCACAGGTCACGTCCTTAGGAGTCAGTGTTTGTCCCTCATACATTTTCTGAGCTTTCTCTCAGAATTAGGAATTGCTTTTCACATTGTGGCAGTGCCCCTGAACAGCTAGAACATTTGTCAGATTGCATCAGAGAGAG